CCCATTCAACCAGTTGTAACAAAAATCAAAGTCAGGCCAGGTAAACCATCCTCTCCAGAAATACAAAGGATACAGTTTCCTATCACACTGGCATGGGCATGCACTGTGCACAAAGTGCAAGGTTTGACACTTGATAAAGTTGTTATTAGTTTTAACTTGAATAGACAAAGAAGTTTTAACTATGGACAAGTTTATGTTGCATTAAGTCGTTCAACTTCCTTACAAGGACTTTACATTCTGGGGCAAATAGATAGTAAAAATGTAAGAGCAGACTCTAGAGTCCATGATGAATATGAAAGATTGCGAAATAATTCATCAAAAAGTATGCAGCAAACAAATAAACCAATCCAAACTATTCAGGAAAATAGCTCAAATTTAACTTTATCCCTTCTAAATATACGATCTCTTAGAAAACACAGTATTGACATCAAGCTTGATACAAATATTTTCAGTAGTGATATTATAGCTCTGACAGAAACACAACTTCTTCCTCAAGACACAGACCACAATATTAGAAATGACTTGAATCCCTTTACACTGTACAGGCAAGATCATATTTCTGACAAATACTCAAGTTTAGCACTCTGTACCAAAAATAACATTGAAATTACAGAACAAGAGTATTTCCCTTCAGTAAATGCACTAAAATTTGTTGCTACCAATACTTCTATCCAGCAACAGCTCTCCTTTCTTCTATTATATAGACAACACAGCTCTAATGTTTTACAATTTTTAAACTCTATGGAATATCTACTTAGGAGTAATCCTATTGACCTCGTACTTGGAGACTTCAACATAAATTACTTCTATGAGAAAGAAAATAGGCCACTTGAATGCTTGATGCTCTCTTTAAACTTTGAACAAATTGTACAAACTCCCACATTTATTTCTGCAGGAACATTGTTAGACCATATTTACATGAAGCCAACAGCTTTTGATATAATCCACAATGATGTAATTAGTGTTTATTATTCAGACCATGATGCAATTAAAGTATCATTGCAATTGTAACTTACAATAATTTATTATAATTAAAACCACGATATTGTTGTTTTACTTTAATTTTGTATTTAAGCTGATTTTCCAAATCACCAGATTACAATGATACACATCAACTGCGATGCCTAGATTGCCAATTATGGGGAAACTACTGAACTCAACTGATATTGTAACAAAGCTGTTCCAAACAAAAATACTATAAATCTCAAGAATGATATAAATATGTTGGGAACAGGCCATTATATTTTCCACCTGGGAGAGTTTAGGCAATAACCCCAAATCCCCCCCCCCCCCAAAAAAAAAAACCAAACAAAAAAAAAACTGATAGTGTTCCCTTCAAATCTAAAATGTTATTGTTGAGCAATTTTTAAAGTTATTACTACTTAAAGTGGTTGTAACAAACACCCTGCTAAATATGATACAGCAGCAAAAACAAGCACCCTTCTCCAAATCAATATGGTCTATTCCTAATGGTGATTATATAACACTTCCATTTAATTGTGACATACTGTAGAAATATTTCATGTTAAATACAAAACATTGGGACCCTTAGCACCTTTGTGGTGCTGCTATCCTTCAAGTGCCAAAAAGGTGGGTTGTTGCTTTTACTGCATGGCTCTGCCCTGCTGGTTAAATTAGCACATTGCACTTTGGATTAAGCAGTCCTGGTTCAAGTGCTACCCAGCTGTTAAGTTCTTGGGTAACTACACCTAACACTCATAGTGCCTTCCTTCACCCAGGAGTTAAAATGGATACTACTGGCAACATTATGTAGACTATATCATCTAACTTACCTGTGACAATGATCTTGTTTTCTTTCCTATTTTTCAGATGTCATTAAGCAAACCAGTCACTATCGCTGACATCAAGTCTTCACCTGTCCCTAACTCTCCTCAACGATGTGCAAAGAAGCTCACATGTGCTGTCCTCAACAAAAGCCCACTAAGACCAATCAAAAATGGTTCTATGTTCTCCTTGAATCTATGTGATAAAGACCCATCATCCACAATCAGAGCCGTCTGTTTCAACACAGACCTGTTCTCCAACTTTGAAACGGATGTAACATATGATCTTGAATCATTCAAGGTGAAGAAAGCATTTGGCAATTCGAGCTCCCTGGAACTACTACTTGACAACAACACCAAAGTTTCCACTGCAGCATCACAACTCAAGATCACAGACCATACTTTCAACATCTCCCAGATCCTTAGAAAGGAAACTGAGAATATCAGATTTATCAACCTAAAAGCAAAAGTAACAAGTATTGGGGATTCAATCTCGGTTGGCACATACCCCGACAACAAGTCAAAGAGAAGCATTTTCCTCGCAGACAATACTGAGCACATTGAACTTGTTTTGTGGAGAGAACGAGCAGAAACCATACAATTCAAAGAAGGCGATGTCCTCAGCCTGCAAAATGTGGTGTTGTCCACCTTCAATAACCAACTCAGTGTCACATCAACTTTTGAGACTGTCATTACAACACTAAATGAAGAAATGACAGTAGCCTCAACACAGCATCCACTGCCGAAATCCAATGTCGTCTCTCTTCAGACCTTCATTGTTGCTATCAAAGAATTTATCTGCACATACACCTGCATTGACTGCAGGAAACAGATCGACCCAGGCGCATCCATGGAGAGTCCAACAATAACATGTCCAACATGTTCTACCATGTTCTTAAAGGAAAGTACACAGATAAGCAACCACTGCATGGTCCGCCTAAACAACAAGCCATGGTTTTCGGCACATACAGGAGTAAGTGTCTGTTTATTTATGTAAACGACAGTATTAGGTATCCCCCACTCATACACTTTATACCACTTGCAAAAATTTACATAATTTTCAAATTTCTAAAAACCCTGCACAAACACACTTTATAACACAACTAACACAGTTGACAGGGCTAATAATCATGAATCTATCTCCCCATATTAGGATTTTGTTCTTAATACTATAGTACACTATACTTGCAATGCACAGTGTTGGACATTAGCTAGCTCCCCCCCCCCCCCCACTTGCCCAGACGAGTGTCAAAACATCTAAAGCAAATACAAATTTTAGATTTTTTATTGCATTACATATCATTAAAGACACTCGCCACTTGCTGTCAAAATTACGTGTAAGTTTCCATCCCTAATGATGCATTCTAACCATAATAACATCTTTTAGTACCCTCCTTCCAATAAGCACCCCCATTATGGAAGTACTTCCCCTTGACTGTCGTCTTGTTATTCCAATAACCAAAATGATTTACTACCATAAACGGACTGTCACTAGATTATGACATTTAATAACAACCATTCCTCAATCACAACATTTTATTTTATTTTCAGGTCATACAGCATATCTTCAAATGGCAGGAGCCAAAACCCAAGCCAACAGAACAAGACATAGTAAATCTACTAAGCACTAAGTTCACACTGAGAGTGGATCTCGACCGAAAAATATTGGAACACGCTGCACCAGCAGACACCGACACTCACCCTGAGCCAGAAGAAGAAGAATCAAACTCCAAAAAAGTTAAAACAGCTTAAGTAACTTGATTTAGAACAGTGGTCTTGATTTTATTCTCTTAACACAGACACAAGATCATCTAATAACATGTTTGAATATCAAAGTACTTGGTTAATGTAAAGTATTTCATTAATGCCTTACCAAATTGTTATCACATTTTATTTGTTGTTTTACAAGAGATTCATACATTTATAAAATGAAAAAAAAGTTAAAACAGCTTAAGTAACTTGATTTAGAACAGTGGTCTTGATTTATTCTCTTAACACAGACACAAGATCATCTAATAACATGTTTGAATAACAAAGTACTTGGTTAATGTAAAGTATTTCATTGATTCTTTACCAAATTGTTATCACGTTTTATTTGCTGTTTTACAAGAGATTTATATATTTATAAAATGAAAAAAAAAAAAGTTAAAACAGCTTAACTATCTTGATTTAGAACAGTGGTCTTGATTTTATTCCCTTAACACAGACACAAGATCATCTAATAACATGTTTGAATAACAAAGTACTTGGTTAATGTAAAGTATTCGATTCATGCTTTACTAAATTATTATCACGTTTTATTTGTTGTTTTACAAGAGATTTATAGATGTATAAAATGAAAAAAAAGTTAAACAGCTTAAGTAACTTGATTTAGAACAGTGGTATTGATTTTATTCTCTTAACACAGACACAAGATCATCTAATAACATGTTTGAATAACAAAGTACTTGGTTAATGTAAAGTATTCGGTTCATGCTTTACCAAATTGTTATCACGTTTTATTTGTTGTTTTACAAGAGATTTATAGATTTATAAAATGAAATAAAACTATTGTTCAGATTAGAAAAATGCAAGGAAAGACACCCTTTTAGTTATTCACCTTTTCCAGCTATCTATACCATCCAGTTCATGATATAAATCCAAATCTAAGGGACTGGTCAAAATAGTAAAAGGGGGAGGGGCGCTTGCTTAAAAACCCTTGACCCACCCCCTCACTTTGGATTAAAACTTTGGTGTTCCACCCCCCAAAGATGGCTGAAAATAAGATAAGATAAGAACCTTTATATAAACACGTCGTATATATAATAAAAATATCTAAAATACAGTAAAAGAATTAAAAAGAGACTACTGGCATGACCTACCCCCCTAAACTCTACCCTAAGTAACAAAGGAGATACAGCCATGACCCACCCCCCAAAACTCTGCCCTAAGTAAATGTATGTCTCATTACGTTTTTCTTTATATCTGCAGTAAAGAGTATTCTATACAACTCAGTAGTGTAGCAGGGTTAAATTTATTGTGGGGCCATCGTGACTGCCCCAGCTGCAAATTTTTAGCGGGGGGGGGGGGGGGGGCTCCGGGGACATGGGAGCTGTTTGAAATAGCAATAGTCCAGTTGGGAGTTATTTAGAATCGCGGCTGACTCTAATTATCGCAGTCGCGCGATAACATGGAATTGAGGCTTATCCTGAATCGGCTAATGTTGCCAAGTTCGTAATGGCAGAAGACCGCGAAAATTCAAGCGAACACTTCACATTGGGAGATATTAATCGACAGGAACTTCAAAAGAAAACTTTATATGAGCTGAAGGAAATTCTGAAACAGTCTGGTCAAAAAGTTAGCGGGAAAAAGAGCGATCTGGTAGAAAGAATTTGTGGCGTCTTGGCGTCGAGCACATGTGACACTCCATCGACTTCAAAGACAGCAGAAGCGCAGTTTTTAGAACTATCTGCTCCACACAAGAGCAAAGACAATGACTTAAGCTATGATACTCTAATTAGAGATGTCAAAGGGAACAATCTGTGGCAGAAGGACTTGAGAAATTTGCCAGCGTTTGACTTTGTCCGTCTATACGACTACTTGGTCATACAAACAAACAAGTATGATCACATCGCTCTGAAGACTAGTGGCTATAAGAAATTGAAAGCTTTCCAGTTTTTTGCCGAAGGTCATATCAAAGATTTGGAGCTTGCAGAAGTTGGAGGACTTGTCTACATCAAAGGAGAAGTTTTGGCTTCTATGAAGCAAACAAAATACTCAGTCGCAATAGTATTTTCAAACAAAGGCGAAGTACTGAGGGCTGCTTGTAAGTGCCCTGCAGGGTAAGATTATATGATATATTTTCAGTTGCTTATTTTATGAATTGTTTATACCTACTGTACATGTTTACGAGTAGAAATACTAGTGCAAAACTATGCAAACCTCTTTCCATACAGTGATGTATGAATGTGTGAATCCGATTGTAGACGGTAAAATATTGAATCAATGTAATTCAATGAATATAAAGGTCTTTTAGCATGTTTATATTATTTTATCGAACCTGTAATTTCATGTCTTGTCTCAAATACCACTTCATTATTTTTATTATAAATGTATTTTTTGACAGGTTAGGTTCTGGTGGCCATGGCCAATGCAACCATGTTGGTGGTATTCTCTTTGCCATCGAAGACTTCAACAGACAGGGACTACAAAATCGCAGTGAACCAGTTACATGTACTTCAAGGCTGTGTGCATGGAATGTGCCAAGAAATAGTAAAGTGGCTGCAAAACCTGTTGATGACATCAACATTGTGAAGTACAGATATGGAAAGGACAACAGAACTTCTGTTAAATCAAGTGTGTATGATCCAAGAGCCCCATGTGATAGAGTGCTCAATAAAGCAAAATTAAACTCTATGCTTGTGAAACTTAGCCAGCACTTACCAAGTAGCTCTCTTTTTCTATTTCATGATATCAAGCCAAGCCTGGACAGTCAAAATGTTATTGTTGACAGTACATGTGAATGTGTACCACTTAAGGTGGGACTTAACCTAAAATTTGACTACAAAATGCAATTTTTGTTTTTGGAGAAATCTGAAACTTCAGGCATAGAAGAAAGCCATGACATGAGTTTTTAAGACTAATTTGCTTTATTTTGTTGCCTACGATAAGTTTTCTGCAAGCTAGTAAAAAAATATTTTTGTTACCATGGCAACGCAACGTAGCATCTTTCAGTCTTGCTCCAATTTGAAGCCCGAAAGTCCATCCAATTCCTAGAATTTCCTCAGTATTTTCAAGAGGAAGCTATATGACCCCTTACATGAAGTATAGCTAGTCGGAGGTGGCGTGGGATTGAAAGCTGGCGTGTTTTCAACTGTGGAGATACTGTGAGAGCGAGATTCGAGTTTTATATCAGCGAAGTTTTTGTCTAAAATGCCAGGAGGGAAGAAGAATACTGTATATAGAAGAAAGCGGAAAGGAAAGCCTTTTACTGGAGTGCAGAGATACGCAAGGAAAGCGAAGAAAATGCCGCGTGCGGATAGAGAAGTCACAAACTCAGCATCGAGTTCCTCGTGTGATGAGGCTCTGTCAGATGCCGAAAGTGCTTCCATCAGTGCTTCGAGACTCAAAATGAGACCAGAAGATTCACCAGATAGTTCATCAAAGATTTCTGATGTAAATGATTTTCAGGGAGAGGGATACAGACTTGTAGACCTCAAGAAATTATATGCCACGTTGTCTGAAGCACATGTGTGCGAGGAAGGTGAGAAAACATAAGTGAACATCTGTTTTACTTTTAACCTTTTCTTTACTGTTCATGTCTCGTAGCATATGCTAGTAACAGTGTGCAGTTTCCATTTTTTTCTCTAAGAATGTTTTTTTACTTCTCTTCAGTACTATCTTTATTGTTTTCATTTATTAAAAATTACAGTTGTAACTGTCTGTTGTGTGGTATGTGGTGAATAAATTTTGTGACTCATATACATGTATGAGAATGCACAAAATAACTTTAGTGTATACTGTTATTATGTTCTAGGGAGTTTAACTCTGAAGGAGAATTCTTCTGGGAGAAATGGGCTAATGGCAGACCTCTCTGTGGAGTGTAGCTCCTGCCTTGAAGCTACACCATTGAAAACATCAGATACAATAACAAAGAAGCAGAGCAAGAATAATGCAGAGACTGGTAATTCCAGCAGGGGAGTACACTCAGAAGGCCTCAGAAGAAAAGGACAAGAGGCGGTTGAGAAAATCGGACCTTCAGACCTCTGCTAAAGAAAAGAAGCGCCGGCAAGGAGAGCAAATGAGGCGCACACGCAGAGAAGATGCCCTACGGGAGGCTGATGGTGATACCTATGAACCTGGAGGCTTCTAAGTGACTGAAAGAAACATTTGCTATGATATTGGATAGTTCATAGCCATGCAAATTTGTGCAGACAATCTTCGTTTTAGCTTTTTAACTTTAATCGCACTTTTCTCAAAATGTGCATTTTGCGCATTCTAGAAAACATATCTCATAGAGGATTTAACCAATTGACTTGAAATTTTCAATGTTTATTGCTTTCAAAGAGTGTCTGGGAATGAGCAAAGGGTTTTTCTGTAGCTTTACTTTGTCAAAAGTTACAAAGAAAATTGTGGTGGAAATTCACCCCAAAAATTTTGCTTTACTTTAACTGGAGGCTGGAACCAAAGTTTTTTATATTTTTTAAAACTCTATGCTCATCCCCATGATTAGCCTATATACTATATAGTTATAAAAACAAATCAGAGCTAGCTGCATTCCATATCAAGATTTCTTTTCTAGAGTACATGTGGGTTGTGCACAGTATGGGGTAACAATATTTTGCTGGTATCAGGTTACAAATAAACTGTGTGCAGAAATAATTGAAAAAACTGAAATCTGTGATTCATTAGCTTTTCAGTGATATATGGTTTTATATGGTTTAACTAAAAACTGTGGATGTGACAAGTCATTGAAAAAAGGGGTCTTTTTTAGGTTAAGTCCCACCTTAATTGTATAGAAATGGTAGAACTTACCTCAGAACATGATGACATGGACTTGCCATTCAATGACGATTATGACATTGCAACAAAGAAATTCAAGTCAATGATTGATATATATGAAGAGAGAATAACTGACAATGATGTTGAAAGAATAGAAAGGTTGTCACGGGGCCAGGACAATACTTTTTGGAGGGAACTAAAACAGGAGAAACTAACTGCGTCAAATTTCAAAGCTGCTGCTAAGAGAAAAGTTGAACCTGATAAACTTTTAAAGCAAATCATGTACAAAATTGAAGAAACCACTAATGTTTCAGCATTACAGTATGGTCACATGCATGAAGATAATGCTATCAATGATTATATTAAATACAAACACTCCCAAGGAAACACAGGCTTGACAGTTTGGAAAGTTGGGACCTACATATCAAAGATTAGACCAGGATTGGGGGCTAGCTTGGACAGAATGGTTTATGATCCTTTGGCACACTGTAAGAAAGGTGGCCTCGAAATCAAATGTCCATACTCTAAACAAGGTATGACAATTGAAGAGGCTTGTCAAGACAAGAATTTTTGTATGACTTTGAAGCCTGGGATGCCTACATTGAAGATAGGACACCAGTATTACTATCAAGTCCAAGGGCAGATGTATGTTTCATGTTTGCAATGGGTAGATTTTGTTGTATGGTTTGGAGCAGACAACCTCTACATACAAAGGATAGTATTTGACAAACAGTGGTGGCACAAGGAAGCTCTACCAAAGCTGGATTACTTCTATCGTCGGGCATTTTTACCCGAAGTTCTGACAAGAAGGGTTAAAATTGCCACCTGCCACTGCCACCCTCCATGGTTTATAACCATGGAGGGTGGCAGCCTTACACGAGCCTTAGTCTTCTTCATTTTATATTAACTAAGAATGAATAGGTACTGTGGGTTCCTAGATACTTTCCCTGCACCAGGACAGACATTTTGTATGCAACAAAAAGGAATAGACATAGATCATAAGTTATGTCAAAGCCATATACCAAGAATCCACAAGTGGCATAGGTTTGTTATTAGTTTGTACTTTGTAGTTTTTGCTTAATGGCAAGTTCAAGTGCCTCTACCATAAAAACTGAGAGTAAAAGTAAAATATTAATAGCTTAGCATGCTTTTTGTTTGAGTTTACTTCTTGAATCAATTCTACTGTTGTGTTAGAATATTAAGTTATTGGAGTGTATCAGACATGCTTGTGATATAACCTTTCAAACTATTATTGGACAGTTGGATTTTCATAATCAGGGGGACATTCCATTTTACAGTTCCATTGACAGCAACTTCAGCCTCAGTATTATGTAATATATTCTTTATCACAGTTCATGGTATGTAAAAATGTACACAACTACAATATTGCATTAACCAAGAGAATTTAAAAAAACTATTTCTTTTATGCTGGAGTTAGTTAACACAACTTCAAATTGGAATATTATTAACTGCAAAGTAGTAGTAACAGTATCATTGTAAATGTTATTGCCTCACATGTTTATTATTTCAGTATTCAGTTGTCATTGATGACATCATTTAATTCAATTAATCATTTGCATAAGCATATATTGTATATTTTTGACAGTAGATGTAAATCAACTTCACATTTGAGGCTCAAGAAGAGGAGTTAAAAAGTTAGTAAGATAAGCACATACAAAAAATATTTGATCGGCTACGTGTGCTAAACTCAAAGGTAAAGTACCTTCTAGAATATGATAGTTCTTTATGCGACCAATAGCACGCTCAACATGTATCCTCACTGATGCAATGCGGGCTGTTTCCTGGACTTCATCAGCTGTCAGCTGGTCTCTGATGCCCTTAAAAGGTGGGATATTCAGGTGACAGCCTGGTGGAAAAATACCACCAATATCAAATCCTCTGTCAGCCATTACATTGTCCCCAGGTTCTAATAAGTGCATCACTCCTGATTGTTGTGTGATTTCCTTGTCAGAAACACGGCCACCCCATAGCTTTGACACAAATGTCACTTGACCATTTGGTGATATTCCTACTAATACTTTGAAAGTGTTATGATGCTTGTAGTTGGACCATGTCTGTGACTGTGCAAGCATTGAAGATGGAACTTCAACATAAAGCTCAGTGCAATCAAGAATGATACGAGTAGTTGGATACCAGGTATCAAGGAACGGATTAAGGACTAAGGTTCATGTCATTAACGGAACAAGGACACAGATGCAAGTTTTCAGAGTTACTGTTTTGCTTTATTGTATTGTAATTTCGTATCACACCGAGCTCGCTTTTGTAATAATAGGTTTTCTGTTTTTCTTTTAGTTTTCTTTACCGCATCGCATCAGTTATATCACATTGTTCCCAGTCGCATCAGTTACATCGCTATTACGTTCCCATTGCATTATCAAGGCATTGTTCACAAGGAATCGTTTGTAAGGAATCTAGAAATCAATGGTAGCGTGTACAAGAATTTCTGTAAATTAAACTAAAGTTGTGTTTACATAGTACGGCTCATCGATTTGCAAGGTCCTGAGGCAGTTCTGCCGCCTCAGTCAAAGAACGCGAAATTTTCTTCGAGGCCCAGGATTTCATGCCACTGGACGTGGAGGAAAAAAGCAGTTCACGACCTTTGCAGATTTCAATCTCTGTGGTCCATCCCAACATGTTTCTAATCGCTGTAAGGCAGGTTATACAACAGACAGTGGGATAATTAAACCCCATTTGCAATCCTTTCATGTGTTTTCTAGCCACCCAAAAGCTGACATTAATTACTTAGCGAGCAGTGATCAAGTCCAAGTTATAGGAGTCTCACTTGCTATGGACGGGACAGCCCTTAAGCCAGGACTAGAATTCGATACCAGGCAGAAAAGGATCATCGGGTTAACCTACAAAGTTGACTGGAATTATGTTTGCGACAACCCTGTTCCTAAAGCTGAAGAAATAAAAGCGAATCTCATTACGAGTGCCGCAGTTACCTTTATGACGACCGTCGACAATAGCTCCACGATGCCAATTGGTGTCCATTACCATCCAAAGTCAGTATCTGGAGAGGACATTCTATCGCAAATGCTTGGGATGGCAAAAACTGTACAAGTCTGTGATCGATGCTTAAATAAACAGCCTGCGAAGAACCACATTGTTACAC